CCCCAAATATGCCAAATGCAGATGGGCTAGACATTGTAAATATAATTATTCCTGATAATTGTTCTTTTTATTTATAGTTTTGTCATATTATAGTTAAAAACCTTTCCTTTTTATTTGGACAAAAAAGAGAGAAATGTGGAATATACTATAAAGATTTGTCACTCAGATTAGTTTAATAAAAAGATGAATATTCAGCAGCCAAGCAGGATCTTCAGGCCAGAGAGGATGCTGGGAAAAAGATGACAGAGACGACTCAGAGAGTTGCCAGTCAGACAGAGAGGAATCAACATTGGCAGTATAGAATAAAGCAATGTGTGGCAATAAAGCCACACAGAAGAAAGTCAATTAATAGAAATTGGTTAAAATAAGTTATAAGAGCTAGTTAGAAATAAGTCTAAGAGTTGTCAGAAGCCACTTGTTCATTTATGACTGTCCAGACCATGAAATAAGCACTCAAAAACTATATTATTTGCAATACTATTTTGGCAATAGCTTAAGCATATTGCTAGCTAGCTCTTATATCTTAAATTAACCTATTTCCATTAACCTGTGTATACTAAGTGGCTGTGGCTTACTGGCAAGGATTTAGCATGTCTGTCTCTGACAGCGGCTATATTACTTCTCCCTACTCTGTCTACTCTCTCTTTATATCTTTTCCAGCCTGGCGATGTACTGTTAAGCCATTGGCCAAAATCAGTTTCTTTATTCATTAACCAGTAAAAGCAACACATGTACATAAGGACTTTCCACACCACCTAAGGTAACATCTGAGCTGTCATAATTAATAAGAATTCTCCATGTTGCTATTTTTGATCTGGGTGGTGGGACAATTAAAATCCATCTATAGACCTTAGCACAGCTCAGTTCAAAAACAATTTTCCAAATAACCAAAGCAATCTGGTAGTTTTAATTACCACGAAAATACAACAGTATGTTTTTATACATGTCTGTATTTGTATGTTTATGCATATGAGTACATATGTATATACAGCAATGTCTACATATACTGTATTTGAAGACAGAAAGTTAAAAATATTAATGAATATGCAATCAAAAATCAGCAATACAGGAGAATAGTAAGTAAACTTAGAAGTTTTACTAGTAAATAAGAAGGCATAGGGAAGCTGATCCCAGCATTCAGGAGGTAGAGACAGGTAGGTCTCTGAATTAAAGTCCAGCCTGCTCTACAGGGTGAGTTCCAGGACAGCCAGGGCTAACAGAAAAAAAAAAACTGTCTCAAAGGACAAACAGACAGAAATAAAATTTTTAAGTAGTTAAAAAGAAGTATGAGACTTTAGGGAAGTAGCAATCTGCCAGCATACTGAGGAAGTTTGATAGACCTAGATCATATACTCTGCTTTTAAACTATTATTCCATGAAGCTAGCTTTTAATATCCATTTCCACTTTACTGATTGAAAGCATTTTATTTTAAGAATTCTTAAAAATCTCTCAGGGCTGTATTCAGGTCAGTAATCAATCCTGAACTACAGCTCTATGCTGTTACATTCAGTTCTGCAGGTATTTTATTACATGCCTGTATGTTATATGCTGCAGTAGGACCTAAGATGCTGACAATGAACCTGGACTGTAGGGACTAGAGGGCTGGTCTAATAGGGTATATGATGAAGATGCAGCAATGCGGATCAGTAGGCTGGTCTAAAAAGGTATATGATGGAGATGCAGCAGTACAAACGAAGGAAAACCAAAAATAACCAAGAGACAGGCAAAGTCCTTTAAGTGCTTCAAAGGAGGCAGCAAGAAGTGAGTGCATTCATTTCTAGGGGAGTATTATTAGAAACAAGCGAGTAAGAGAAAGTAGAATGTGTTTGCAGGGAGATGGAATTAGTGAAAAAAGAACAGGAGAGATGGCAAGATGGTGGGAACATGTGGTACTCAGGGAACATTTGCTGAGAATTCAAGAGTACAGAAGGAGATGGGGTGAGGCAGTGGCTCAGGCCTTAAGGTCATGGTCTTCAGAACAAGTGGAAAACAAACTGAAATCTTTAAATCTCAAGATCACAGCTGTAGGTCAATCCATTTATCTTTAAAAAGAGTGTTTCTGTAATAGGAGATAACATTTAGAAAAAAATGTACATGTTTGCTACATCTCTACAGGAGCCTGTTTGATTCTTGCAGAGAAGAAACTTGCAACATCTTGCATTTCTAAATTCATTCAAGCAAATTCTCAAGGATGTGAAATAGGCTTTGGTAGCATCCATTTCTTAATACACGGACAACTTACAAATGGTATGACTACAATGATTAAAGCCAGGTTTGTTTTAGAATATGTTTTGTCTCCATGTAGATATCCATGAATGAAAAGCCTACTCTAGACCACCCTTCTGTGGCAGTCCAAACTTATGCAAAGTCAAGATATGAAAATTCATTTCAATTTCGTATGTTAAACATTTTATGGAGCGTTATGAGTAATTGTTGGAGATTAACATGTTGGGCCAATAATCTGGATACCAATGCTAACAGAAACTCTAGCCCCAGTAAGTCAACAGGAAAACTTACAACAAATAATACAGATTAGTAACAGCACCAGCTAAGTTGGATGAATCCACTGGAAATGAAACACAAAAATACCCAAGCAGAGAAAGAACAGCTAAAATACAAGAAAATGACAGATTAAACATGAACTACATATACCTAGAACACGGAAATATTAGGAACAGGAGTAGAAGAAATTAGTGGTGTCTCTGCCCTCTGGTGGCAGTAAAATCAACCACAGTGTTGGAGAACTAAAAAGTACAAAAAAGTCCTGTTATGAAATCAGATGTTTTTTCTTTGCCAAAATGTCTGTAACAAAAACCCTGAGTGCTGCATGCCAACTTTTCACTTCTGAATTATTGTCTGGATATTTAACTCTCAGACCGAACATCTTACAATGCAAAGTAGATTGTTTTTCTTCTGGGAAACCACCTTTCCCTGTTTTATTCAGTAAGCTAAAAACACTTCAAGGTGATTTCATTAAACCCCATTAGAACATTGTTTGGTTATTTCAGCTTATAGGAAAATCTCTATAGAATTGAAAAAATATTTCATTCCTCCACCCCAATCCTAGGAGCACAATGCTTCTAAGAGTTCCACTAGAAATAGTGAATTCCTTTAAAAATTCTGGCGTATTTATCTTGTAAATGTAGGTATGTCAGACTCCCCAAAGCAAAAGCTTTCCATAAGCTGGTCAGTTTTAAAGTGCAATGAATTCCACTCTCCAGTTGAAGCCTTAGAAAAGCAAATTTAACATGGGTGTCAGTAATTTCTGCCCTCAGTAGAAATTAATAAGAAGTGTTAGTCTTTCTTTTATTTGTTTTTGCTGTAAATGCATTATTTACTCCAAGTGCCAAAGAAGTTTTTAAACAAACAACTTGATATGTATTTTGGCACACACGCACACCCATTTTGCAAAATTATTTTACATATATTTATTCCAAATATGCTCATAAAGATGACTCCTGCATCTTGTAAAGTGCTGCTTTCTGAAGAAGCAAAAGTATTATCAATGTTTCAACTAATGAAATGCATCAAGAAAATAAACAGAAGTACAGTGCGCTGATATGTTATAAATGGCTAAGAACTTATGTCCATTGATGAGGACCATCCTAGGCGATCACGAATAATCCTGGAAGTCTTCATTTTAATTTCAGCTTTTATCTCGTCCTCATAGCCCATCCTCTGCTCCCCAATATACACATCTTTCCAATCTCAAACAGGATCACCAAAAAAGTATTCACTTTCTCTGTTGAAATTTACTCTGGCAGTAAACATAATGATTGGGCCATCCGATATATTTCAAGGTGGTAAAACTGTATTCAGGGTTTTTGTAAACCCTTATCCTCACCTGGAATCCCCAAGTGCCCCTCCCTGACTTCTTTTTATGACTCCTCCGAGGTTGACAGCTTGGTACCTATGCACACTTTCCGAGGAACCGTTTGCCACTCTCTCAAATTAGACACAGACAGGCAAAGCAAAATAGAACAAAAATGATAGCTCTAACTACGACGTTTTCTTTTCTTTTTCTGTTCAAGTATTCTTTGCTCTCACCCGCTCTGGGAGTCTGCAGGACTTCACAGATTCCTGCCCTAGTGTTTCACTGCCTGTTGGTTTTTTTACCGATGGGCAGAAATAGGGAACAAGCTGCAGAGTCGCAGTGGGCAAGGTAGTCTGGGGGAGACAAGCAGCTTAGCCAGTCCCAGTTCACTTCGAAACACCGTTCCCTGCCTTACACCTAGCCAGAAAGGCCACCAGGGCAAGGGTTGTGGCCAATTGTGAGGAACTGGAGGCCCTGACTCCTCCCAGGGCAGTGTAAAGGAACGCTAAGGAACCGCTGACACGTTTGGGCCTGTTGGTGGAAATGAGAGGCAGAGGACAATAGGGCCAGGGCTAGTCCTCAGAGACACGCCCGCCCCCAGCTTTTCCACCTCCTCTCCTTCCCTGAACCCTGCCGCACCTAAGACACCCCACGTCGTAATCCTACACCGAGGTAGCGAGTGGGGCTAGCCAGAAGGAGGGATCAGAGGCAGCAAGGCATTTTCTATTGGCAGGGGGAGACCTGCCTTCCCTGGCTGTCAACACATCCTCCATCACCCCTTTCGCGGTCGGTGCGGTGCAGAGGCTCAGTTTCTCCGAGCTACAAGGAAAGAGAAAGCAGAAGGGAGACAACCTGACCTGAACAAGCTTCAGGGCGAGGTATCCACCTCAGCTGGCTCTTACACTGGCGCTTCCTCGGGCTACTTGGGGCAGACAGGACCACCCCCTGGCGCCCAGGTGGAGTAAGCACCAGAGCCTCAGGGAAGTCCTGGCCTCCAACACCTTCTGGTCAACCCTCTTCCCCGTTTTGGGAAATGCATTCCCCCCCCCCAAAAAAAAAAACCAACTAGGATAAGTTTCCAAAGGGCAATGCAATTGGTGGGTGTTGGTTGGGAATAGGGGTACTGGGGCACCGGAAAGATCTTCATCTGCACACAAAAAAAGAATCGAGCAAAGTGCATCTTACCAGTGATTTGATTTCCAGGCTCCCCTTGGGCGAACTGGAATCTGTCGATTAAAAAGTGACAAAGTAGTATAACTCCTGCTGCCGCCAAGTCGGCCCTCAGGAACCTCGCCATGCTGCTGCCTCGACCTCCCTCCCCTGCCCCGCGAGTCTTTGCCGCCCTGGGCTCCGGGCTCTTTGTGGGAATGGGTTTAGCGGTCGAGCTCTGCGGTGGGTCTCGGATGGGATCCGGAGGAATGGGTCAGTTTCGATAGGCTTTCTCTCACAGTAGCAGAGAACAGAGGCGAGCGAAGGAGGGGCAGACTAGTCCTCTCCGGACTTCGGGGGCTCTCTCCTCAACTTGCCACCTTCGCAGCCCTCAGCCGACACAGGACCACCAAGTTCGAGGAGGAAAGGTCACTTGCAGCCGGGCCGGCAAACTCCCGGGTCCTCACAAGCAGCGCCACCCGGTCTTCCGAGGACTATGACTTCCGAGCGCTCGCGACGCGCTCCACTGGGTTCAAAACAGATCTAATTCCACAGCTAGCACCCGTGCCATGCAGATCCAAGTGGGAGCTGAGCACCGGAGGAACTTTCCCAGACTTAGGACTGGCTCCCACGGATGGTTGAGGTTCGCGGCAGAGGGCGGGTTAGTGGAGGCTGGAGAAACCCCTCCGACAAGTTTTTCTTCTTTGCTTCGCCCAACGTTGGGCGCGCGTCGTCACGGGCAGCCGAAGAGATGGGCTGCCCCGAGAGATGAGCCCGGGAATGTCTGGGCTGTGTGATCAGAAGGCGGGGGTGGAGAGGGGTGTGCTTTTTAAAGAAAAAGAAAAACGAGGAAAAAGTGAAGCTGCAGCCTGGTGAGGCTTCCGCGGACTAGGGAAGAGATGGATCCGAACACCGCGGAGCCCCAGGAGTTTGGTGGCAGAGGCGCCGCCGCGCTCCCCGGCGCACTCCAGCTCTACACTTTGGGGAGGGTAGGAGGCTTGCCATTTGCCAGATCCGCCGCGGAACCCTCCTCCCTTCTCCCTCCGCCCTCCTCCCTCCCCCCTGGCTCCTCCAGGCTTCTCCCACCTTCCTCCTCCCGAAACCAGCAGCCCGCACCGACCTGTTCAATGGCTGAGCTTTTCTCGGGGGCGCCAGAAAAGTCTCCCACAAATGAAGCCCAGGAAGGCTGTCTGGGGAGAGTCCGAGAGCCACTGCGGCCCCACGAGCCTCCCGGATCCTGAGGACGGGTACGCTGGGCTGTATCAGATCCTGATCGCCTGGACACCATCGACCCGCCTTGCTCGCCCCCTCCGTTGCGGAGTAAAAGCCGCCTGCACCCACCAGGCTCCTCGGGTTTCCGGGTGCCAACCTTCAATTGGGAGATGAGACCCCCAACGGGTGCCCACAATCTCCTGGGTTCGACCTGGGCGTTAAAGGGTTAATAGCATTTCATCCCTAACAGAGGGCTGGTCTGGCAACCGTTAGGGTGTGAAAAAAAAAAAAATCAAACCTGAGTCGCTTTGGCTACTAACAATCATCCCCTCCACCCCCATCCCAGCAAAAATCACTCCTACCCCAGACCCGCGCAAAGGGTGGTGGAAGGTGGCTCTGGACTGCGGGGTCCAGCGGCCGCCACTGCAGTTTGGTAAAAGTGTCAGCGGGAGCAAAAGCGAGAGTTTAAAGGAACAGGAGGCCCATTGAATTTCCTTCGGGGGCTTTAAAGGGCTTTCACTCGCTACTTTGTTTTTGTTTTTTCAGCTTCCTGATCTGCTTCGGTATTAACCCCTTCCGGCCCTCTCATCACTTCATTTTTTTTTCTTTCTTTTCCTTTTTCTTTTTCTTTCTTTCTTTTTCTTTTTTTTTTCATACAGCTAACCATCTTTTAATGGGGGATAAATAGAAAGTAAAGAGACAAGGCGCGTCATTGATGAAAAGTACATGCTGTAGAACACTCCCTGGGCTAGGACTTCGATTTTCCCACAAGGAGCAATTTGCTTAAGCTTTAAGCCTCTGGTCTCCAGGCATCGAATCAGGAGGATTCCATACTGAAGCTCACAGAAGGTCAGAATTAGCCAAGGGAAGTAATTTTTGTTTAATCATCTCCTAGCTTGAAGAACAGAGGTGTTTTCTGGACACAAAGAGAGAACTAAATTAACACACTTGAAAGTGTTCTTGGTTCAAATGAGCCCTGTAGCGTGTTCTTGTCTCTGCTTTTTCAGGCTCTGAAGACTTCACGAATGTCACAAAACCTCCTGGGAGTGGGCCCGAGATAATTGTAAAACTTGATAAAGTTTGTCTTTCCCCTAAGAAACATTAAAAAAAATATGCTTTTTTCCTAAAATAAGACTAATTTGTCTATTACAGAACAAAACATGCTTGTGACCTTTTAAGTATGCCTACACCTTTTGTTATCCCAGGATGCTTAGCAAACCCTGAGCTGTCTTCTCAGGCTGATGTCGCCCCTGTCAACCACACTTAAAGTGGAACTATAATTCTCTTATTTCTGCCCTACCAAGAGTATCTGAGTTATAGATTACATCTCAATCTGAGTACCGAGAATATTTACGTGAATCTTTAAAGTGCAACCTAATGAAAACTTCACTGGACATTAATTGATGTTGATTTTGCTTCCTGCGCTTTGAACAGCTGACATTTTCCGCCTTCACCACCACCACCAGAAAAACAAAAAAAAAAAAAAACAGGTAAAAGGCTAGGACGGAAACCCAGGCAGAAAGCTTCCTCAACTCTGGTTCTCATAATGTCCATGGCTGTAGGGAACCCAGCAACACCAGAAAGAGTTAGGTCTTTTGTCCTCTGCTTTCACTGTATGAAAAACAAAACCAAACAAAATTAGATTTTTACTTCTCTGAAAAGAAACAAGCTTCCGTCTCTATCATTTTCATTTTTTCTCTTATTGTTTCTGCAGATTGGTAGTTATTTATTTTTATTGTTTGTTGTCTTTGGCCGTGCTTTGCCCTCTTGATAGCAGCTTTAAATATACATTTGCCAGTTAGAATTGTTTGCTACAAACTGAAGGAAACAAATGTCAATTAAAGGTAATTGGATCAGTTTGCATCTGTTGGTGCTGTTTACTTACAACGCCTTATTCCTGTATGAATCTTATTTTGCAAAATTGCACACGTCTATGCTCACTTCCCCTAGGTTTTGACGAATCAAATTTATTAAAATAGCATCCATGAACTCTTTAGGGCAGGGAATGACTTGAGCAAGAACCAGCTGGTGGACCTAGAATGCAATAAACAACGTTACTCAGTTTAGCTCTGCCTTAACCAACAGCTATAGAAGAATCTCAAAATGAGTAAAAAAGTAGCAGCTTTGATGACATACTGTCCAGAACTAAATCAAAAGAGAGACCACTGTAATATATCTAGGCTGTGGCAATTTAAATTTCTCTCAAAACATGCTTGTCAAAATTTTGTAGCAATCCCAAATAAAGAAAATATATGTCACACAATATTTTTGGAGTGGAATGGCAAGAGTTGACTACACATATAACTCTGGCTAATTAAAGAAGCTAAACCTGTTGTACTCAGTTGTTGGGCCTGTCCTAAATATTTCACCACAATACAAGTGTGAGTTTCACTTTTATGGTAACAAACTAAGAAACTTTTCCTCTGTCAGAAAAGTTTCATCAACTTCAACAGACAAGAGAGAGGTGTTGTAATCCTGGAGTCTTTTGCTAACTGTCAAAAGTACAGAGAAGACACAGCCATCTCTCTTCCCCACTGGCTAACTTTCAGCTGATTTCCTAAGGTACAAATGAGTTAGGGCAAATGTTTTTGTTCAAGTCTAAGACAGAATCCTCTGGTCACTTGCTTCTTGAAGATGGTACATTAGAATCATAGACCTATGAGGAGTCACTAGATAGACCTGAGGTATTATCTCTCCAGATTTCAAACCTTTGAAGACACCTTATCTCCATTAACCTTCAAGGATTGTTCCATTTTGTTTTTATTTTTAGAAAGATTTTCTTGTGGCTGGCCATGAGCTCCCTCTGTAGCTGAGCATGGCCTTGAATTTCTGATCCAGCTGCTTCTATCTAGCATCCAGAGTCCTGGTATTGCAGGCTTATGCGGTTGTATAGATCAAGTTCAGAGCTTTATGCACACAACACAAAGCATCTCATCAACTGGGCTATATCCCTAGCCCTGCCTGCAATGAAAATGTATGTGTATATTCAGACTATATATGTCTGAATAAGGATACTTTCATTTAATCTCTCATCCTTCCCCCAATTCTAGCATTTTCCTAAGAGCTGTCCTATGTTGAAACTTGACTGAAAGGACTGCTAAGAAAGCGTCATACACATATGGATTAAAAACAAAACAAAACTCGAGATGCATTGCAGGCTAAGGATTATCTGCATTTATTATGCTCTTTAAAATCATTCTCAGGAAATAATTAGCGTCTACATAACATTATTTCTTGAAACATTCTACAGCTGCTATCTGATGAAGCGACACAGCTAGTGGGCATTTATGCAGTCTTATGCTATGACCTCTCCTTAGGTCAGCGGCATTTCCTCTTCCTCCTTATTTGATAGGGCCAATTTTTTGACCTCGGCTCTGCAATTACAAGACTCGTTTGTTCATCTTGGCTGACCTGCTCTCAAAGTCAACGTGACTTATTGTGCAGTTGGTGGTATTTCAGCTTTCTGTTTTTTATAGTTTTAAGCTGTAAATTTTATGAATGGAGCATTTTGAATTCAACAAGCATCTAAAAAATTAACCCAGAAGGTGAAAATTACTCACTGCCTGCTAAGGCTTATATACACATTACCTTTACTATTTAGATGAAATTAACAACATGGTTATGTTTGGCACAATTTTTGTGAAATAATATATTAACAGCATAAATTTATAGCTTTCTTAATCTTAACAATTTAAAGAGAGCTTGGCCAATAAATATCAGTACAAAATAAGCAATTAAATAGCAAGAAGGAAATGATCGAAATGGATTAGTCCACACTGTTTAAAGGCACAGGGTAAGAAACAGTGCAAAATAGAAACATACATCTTATTTAAAATTATTAGAATCAAAGATGAACTAGTGGTTGTAGTTTGGGGAAAATGCCTGGCAAATACTTTAGTGAGTTATAACATGAAATAAGCCCCAGAGAACCTAGGCAACCAAGAAGACATTAAGAGAGATATACATGGAACTACGTAGAAAGGAGAAAAAGACAAGATCTCCTGAGTAAATTGGAAGTGTGGTAGAAGCGGAGAGGAAAACAGGGGAGTGGACAAGGTTGTGTAGCTCAATAAAAACAATAAAAGGTAAAAAAAAATGAAGTATCTAGGTTGAAGATTTATGTATAGTGCATAAATAACAACAAGGTGAATGGGGCCAGCGAGCTCACTGTTGGTTCAGTTATCTGAATTCTTCTGAACTAATGGCAAACATCTGCAGTAGAGGAAACTTGTTTCTTGAGCATTCACCTCAAGGGAAGCTGCTCTCCTACAGAATCCCTAATTGAAGTCTCAACTGCCAGAACATGTCACAGGGCTTAGTACACTTGCTGCTAGTGAGCTCCGAGTCACACAAGTACAGACTCTACCAGAACCCAGCTCTGAGTCTTACCCTAGATTTCTTTTCTCATCTTTATTGCCTTTGCTCCAAGTTTTCTTTTTACTTTCATATCTATGAAGTTTTGAGGCCTAATTCACACAGCTTAAGAGTTGTCCTCTGAAAATACACAAATCAGTGGGTTTTAATTTACTCCAAGGTGGGAGAACCAAAGCCATAATTGAATTTCAGATGGTTTTCATCACCCAGTGCCCATTAATCGTATTCTCTGCCCAACCCCAGTCCTAGAGAACAGTGATCTACTGTCTCTGTGGCATTGTGGGCAGATGTCTGGGCCAGTTCTGCAAACAGAACTATCCCTGAACTTTTGTGTATGAATTCTTCCGCTTAGCATAATGTTTTCATGGTCTAGCTACGTGGGGCATGCATGTACCCGATGTTTGCTTTTGAT